AACATTAGAGACAGTAGAAACAGACAATAAAACATTAGAGACAGTAGAAACAGACAATAAAACATTAGAGACAGTAGAAACAGACAATAAAACATTAGAGACAGTAGAAACAATAAAACATTAGAGACAGTAGAAACATTAGAGACAGTAGAAACATTAGAGACAGAAACACAATAAAACATTAGAGACAGTAGAAACAGACAATAAAACATTAGAGACAGAAACACAATAAAACATTAGAGACAGTAGAAACAGACAATAAAACATTAGAGACAGAAACACAATAAAACATTAGAGACAGTAGAAACAGACAATAAAACATTAGTCATTAAAACAGAAACAGTGCAGCTGTGAAGGACTGTCTGACATTTGAAGAGCTTTTCTTTAGTTTCTTCCTGTGAAAAAGGTTTAAATCATTAAAAGCTCCTGTAACTCAGTAAAACAGGAAACAATCGGCTTATTTGTGACTCCAGGAGAACTTCATCTCTTTAATGAGGATCAAAGTAAACCGTCTCTGATCTGTCAGATAATTAACTACAGAGTTCTGTTTGTCTCAGCAGAACCTGTGATAAAGGGTTAAAGCTTTATTTGGACTGAAATGGTTCATATTTTAGGATGAGTGTGAGTTATTGAAGCAGCAGCTGCTTTATTCAGCAGGATTAGAGAACAGCAGCAGGCCTGTCTTTGTTTCAGACATTAATAAAAACATGAGGAGTTTCAGATGGTGGAACATCCAACAGAGCTGAACATCTTAAAGCACAACTTCCCTCTGACTCCATGTTGGTTCTGAAGGTTCTGACCCGTGTTTATCAGTAAAGGACAGTGTCTCATCTCAACTCTGTACCTGTGGTCTTGTCTGGTCCAGGTGTGGAAAGCCCGACTGAACGGTTATGAAGAAGCTCTGAAGTTGTTCCAGAGGATCCAGGATGAGAAGAGTCCTGAGTGGGGGAAGTTCCTGGGCCTGATCAAGAAGTTTGTCACAGAATCCAACGCCGTGGCTCAGCTCAAAGGCCTGGAAGCTGCTCTGGTGTTCATCGAGAACGCACACGTGGCTGGAAAGTAAGTCCTGGTGGGAGCAGGGGGTTCTGATCCAACTAGTGATGTGGCAGAAACAGCCTCGTCAGAAAATATCTAATTTTTATTCTGGAATGCTCCAGTTTAATCAGAATCTACAGAATCAGGACCAAAGAACTTGACCTGGACCTCTTTACTTGTGAGGACTTTAAATAATGCAGTAAAGAAAAAGGTGAAGAGAAAACAGGCTCAGGTCTCAGGAAAACTCTGAGCCGTTTGTTTCTGAGCTGGATGGTTCGTCCTCCTGCAGCGTCTCCAGGACACTGCATGAATGGACCTCACTCACGTGGTCCAGAGTCCGGTACCGGTGCCAGAGCCGTTTCCAGCCTCTTGGTTTGTTTTGGTCTTCTGCACGTTCAGTGCATTCTGCTGCCTGAGGAGGGTTTACAGAACAAGCAGTGTTTATCTGTCAGAAAAGGTCCGACTGGGTCTGGTTCAAATCTTTGTTTGTTTCCTGACTTCATAAAAACAGAACCGTGCAAAAGTTTTAAGCTAGTTTTCTTATGGTTATAGGATTAGTTTTCTACAAAGGAAAACAAGATGAATGTTTTAAAGTTCTGCACTGTTGAAATTAATCTAACAACTAAAACAGGTCGTTTTTATTTTTTTAACTTCTCCATCTTTTGGGTAAAGTTTATATTTTCGTGTCAAAATGAACTCTAAACCTTTCAGGGTTCAGTTAATGTTGAACAGGGTTCCCCTGTGAGAACCAGGACTGGACTCTGAGGGTCTGACGAGCTGGGTTTCCTCTCTGCAGGACGGCGGGGGAGGTGGTGTCGGGCGTCGTGACAAAAGTATTCAACCAGCCGAAGGCCCGAGCCAAAGAGCTGGGCTCGGACATCTGCCTGATGTACGTGGAGATCGAGAAGACCGAGGTGGTCCAGGACGAGCTGCTCAAAGGACTCGACAACAAGAACCCAAAGATCGTGGTGGCCTGCCTCGAGACCCTCAGGAGGGCCCTCAGGTCTGTGTTCAGGGTTTGGGATTCTCAGAGTGTGACATGCCTGTCCTTCAGATACATCTTTAAACTTGACATAATACAAACAATTTGACCCATTTTGTCACATTTTCCTCTGAATTTGGCTCAGCAACAGTGAAACAGGAAGTGACATCAAAAGGGAACTCTTGAAAAAAAAACTCTGGTTTTAAAACAATATTTGAACTCTTAACTCTTCATCTCTTTTATTGTGACTCAAAATAATAATAATTAAAACAATTATCAGTTTCTTCTCTACAGTTTGTGTTGTTGGCTGTTGTAGCCATAGATAAAGGTCAGATAAATCGTCCCCACTGTTGGCCAATGGAGACTGGCGTCCTCACACGGCGGCCATCTTGGTACAGGGAGCTGGCCCAGTCTTAACATGAATGTGTGTATTTACTGTTTAAATAACCAGAACTTGGTCAGTTTGCATCAGATTTTCAAACAGATTTTTTTTGTGAAGGTGAGACATGTTATAAAATGACATACTGATAATGGACATTCATATAATAATTACATTATTTTGATAGGTAAACTAATATCAATATATATTCAGAATACATTTAGGTTACTTTTACAGGTTTATACTAGGGCTGTCAAATGATTAAAATTTTAATCTATTAATTCCGTGGTAGCTTTG